GCGACCTGGGAGACCGAGCAGGATATGCGCAGCCGTTACCCTCATCTTTTCACTACTTCAGGTATGTTTCTATGCTCGTTCGAGGACGAACGAATGTTTAAGTGTGGGAGGATGTAACGACCCGGCCGGTCATTTTAAGAATTAACGCCCCAATCCCCTATTAACTGCATTCCCCGTGTTTGTTTCTGCTATTGTGAGTTGCCGGGAGGATTTATTTGGAGTTTTGGAGAGTTTTGGGACACTTAGTCTCTAAATGAGAGCCTAAGTTTTAGAATTAGGACCGTAGTCGAAATAATGTGAATACGGCCTCGGAATGGAATTCCGTTGGTTCCGTTAGCTCCGTTGGGTGATTTCGAGTTTAGGAGCGTGTTCGGATTGTGTTTTGGAGGTCCGTAGCTTAATTAGGCTTGAAATGCCGAAAGTTAAATTTTTGAAGTTTCCGGTTCAATAGTGAGATTTTGATATCGTGGTCGGAAAGGAATTCGGAAGTTGGAGTAGCTTCGTAGTGTTGAATGTGACGTGCTTGCATAATTTCAGGTCATTCGGACGAGGTTTAATAAACTTTTTGATCAAAAGCGTAATTCGAGAGTTTTTGAAGTTCTTAGGCTTGAATTCGATGTTAATTCGATGTTTCGATGTTGTTTTAGGTGTTTTAAGGGTTGGTATAAGTTTGGATAGTGGTATATGACTTGTTCGTGCTTTTGGTTGAGGTCCCGGGGGTCTCGGGATGATTTCGGATGGTTAACGGAAAGGCTGGTAAGTTTGGAGTTGAGAAATTGCAGCTGAAGCTGCTGTCATAACCGCACCTGCGGCTTGGGGACCGCAGGTGCAGCGCCGCAGAAGCGGCTGAGAGACCGCAGATGCGGCCATGTGAAGAAGGCCAGTTTCCGCAAGTGCGGTAGTTTGAGCTCACCTGCGTGAGCGCAGGTGCGCTAGAAGAAGCGCAGGTGCGGCCCAAGGGAATTTAATGAAATCTTGCAGATGCGCACCTGGGACCGCAGGTGCGGAAGTCCTGGGCAAGAACCTATATAAAGCTTCAGTCGCGATTTTTGCCCATTCTTTCACCATTTTCATCCGGATTTTGAGCTTTTGGGAGGTTTTGAGAGAAAATTCAAGGGAGCTTCAAGGAGGTAAGATTTTTGGAACCTAAACTCGTTATTATGGTGATTTTTATCATTTTAAGCATGAAATTTGAAGGAAAATCAGTGGTAAATTGGGGGGTTAGGGTTTGGTTAATTGGAGAGCTTTGAGTGGTGATTTGAGGGACCATTTGAGGTCCGATTTTGGTGCTTTTGGTATGACTAAACTCGTGAGAGTATAAGGATTCTAAAAATATAAATTTTACCCGATTCTGAGACGTGGGCCCAGAGGGCGTTTTGGTCATTTTACCTAATATTGCGTATTAGCTTAGAATTTATTTGTAGAATCAGTTATTTACATTATACAATTGAATTGAATAGATTTGGGCCATTTGGTGTCGGGTACTCGTGGCAAGAACGTGGTTTCGGGTTGATTTTGAGCCGGTTCGAGGTAAGTGGCTTATCTAACCTTGTGTGGGGGAAACTCCCCTTAGGATTTGGTTTGTTGATAATTGAAATGCCCTGTACGTGAGGTGACGAGTGCGTACTTGTGCTAATTGTTGAAAATTCGTTTTTCTTTAAGTAACTATAATGTGATTTCCTTTTTCATGTTCATATTGTGCGTAATTTAATCCTGCTATTAGCCTAGGGAAGCATGTTTAATTGACTTAATTGTCTTACTTGCTCAATTTGCCTTATTTGGATTATGTGCAGCATGTTAGGTTAGAAATACCTGTTTTACTTTGGTATGGAAATTTGAATTGAATTGAGTATCCTTCGTGTTGCTGCTGTGTGTTTACTTTGGGACTACGGGACGGTATCCCGGGAGATCCCCCTGTATGTTTACATTGGGACTACGGAATTGTATTCCGGTAGATCCCCCTACACTTTTATATTGGAACTACGAGACTGCACCCGGTAGATTCCCCCAGTACTGGATATTTACATTTGGGACTTCGGATCGGGACTCCGGTAGATCCCCGCGCATTATGAGTTGGACTACGGGACTGCACCCGGGAGATCCACTAGATATTTATATTTGGGGACTACAAGACGGTATCATGGGAGATCCCCCGGTTGTTATCTCTGCGTTGAGCTGTATTTATTTTCGTGATTTCTATGTCTATGTTAAAGTTGTTGTTGTTCTTTTATCCTCTGTTACTTTTTTTACTGTTGCACTTAAGTATACTGTCTTATTTTACACTGTTATATCTTGTATTTCCTTTAACCTCAGTAGGGCCCTGACCTTCCTCGTCACTACTCGACTGAGGTTAGGCTTGGCACGTACAATATTAGAATTCATAACCAATAATGAAAATAGAAAAAAGGAAGTGAAAAACTCGTAGAAGAATTCTCCCCCTTGCTCCTAGTGTTTTCTTGCCTCTTAGGTCGAATCCCCTCTAAAAAAAATGCCCCCTCTTTCTTAGACATATTTATGGAGTATTTATAGGCTAGGATTGAAGTCTCAAAGTCCAAATCCGGATCGGAGTCTTTTAGTTTACGCACTTTTGATCACCGAGCTATAGACCTCACGAGGGCAGGCTTATAGCACGGTCAGCCTAACTACGCCTGGCCTGTAGCACGGTAAAGCTAGTTACAGAGTTGGCTACGCTTGGCCTGTAGCCAGGTTTGGATGCTTGGTGTTTTTATGTTCACTTCTTGCATTTTCGTTCTCTTTTCGTGCAACTTTCATTCAACTCTTTCTTACGATGCTCCTACACATAAAACACCATAATTTAGCTCAAATATCGCACAATTAATCACTAAACAAACAAAATATAGGGCGAGTAATGTACTAAAAGTATATCATTTTCGCGAAACATCAATAAACCACATTACAAATTCAACTGTTCCTACAGGTAAATAATGGCAGAGCCAAAAAATTTACTAGAGGGTGTCAAAATATAAAAAAATAAACACATTGAGAAAAATAAGAAGAGTTAATATATAATATATGTAGTATTAAGTGGGTTTGGACATAAGAATTGTAAAATTCCAAAAAGAAAAAGTTAAAAAAAAATTCAATTGAAAATGGTATTTGAAAATTAGAGTTGTGTTTGGACATGAATATAATTTTGGTTGTTTTTGAAGTTTTGTGAGTGATCTGAGTGAAAATTTTGAAAACAGCTTTTTGAAGTTTTTCAAATTTTCGAAAAAAATTTCAAAATGCATCTTCAAGTGAAAATTAAAATTTTTATGAAAAAAATGCTAATTTAGAAAAAAATAAAAAAATTTCGAAAAAAAAATATCTCTTATGTCTAAACGGGCTCTAAAATACTTGAGTGCTAAACAATGTAATTTTATGCCGGGGTATGTTTTGCAGGGGAGAATTTCCATTTTAAAAAGGCAGAATAGCCTGGGAGACACTTGTACTTATTCCGGTTTGTCATCCCGGTCCCTACACTTCATAAGGTTTCATTCAGACACTTCAACTTAATCAAAACAAGACTTTTAAACCCTTCTGACCGTTGACCGAGCTTATGCGGCATTAATATGGCTGCAGTGGACAAAATGAATGATTTACACGCACATTAGGTGCGTGAGCTGATGACTCTTTTTTATTAAAAAAATAAAAATAAATAAATAAATAAATAAAAATACACTAGCAGCGCCTCCCCCTTCGTTCTGCACCCCCTCCCCCCCTCTCTCCTCTTCTTCTTCGCATCCCCCCNGCTTATGTGGCATTAATATGGCTGAAGTGGACAAATGAGTGATTTACACGCACATTAGGTGCGTGAGCTGATGATTCTTTTTATTAAAAAATAAAAATTAATAAATAAATAAATAAAATACACTAGCCAGCACCTCCCCCTTCGTTCTGGCCACCCCTCCCCCCCCCCTCTCCTCTTCTTCTTCTTCGCATCCCTCCCCCTTCATTCTGCCCCCCCTCCTCCCCCCTCTTATTCTTCTTCAGCCAACCCACCCCCCCCTCGTTCTGACCCCCCCTTTCTCCTCATCTTCTTCTTTAGATCCCCTCCCTTCCCCTTTTTCTTCATCCCTTCTTTTATTAGATTTTCTCCTTGGTGTGTATTTCTTCTTCCATCATGTCATCTTCCCCTTCTCTATGACTCCTCCATTTTTTCCGGTGATTTTAGCTTTCAATTTTTTTCACAGCCCTTCCAAATTGGGGTAGAGGAATAAGTCAAAATTCAAAAGACTTAATTCTCTACTCATGTATTTGTCATGGATAGATAACTTTCTTTAAAAGAGGAGTGAAGGAAGTAGCGGTATTCATGGTGGAGGAGCCATGGTAGGTGGGTTATTCTTTTAAGAAGGTTGAGTGGGGTTTGAAGAAGGGAGGAGGGGTTTTCTTTAATTTTAATTCTAATTTTTTCTTTTTTTATTTTATTTTTTGTTTATGAAATTAAAATTTTGTTAAATAATATTATTTTGGCGTAGAATCTAATGTGGATGCTGATTTGTCATCCACGTCAAGCAAGTGAGCATCACACGATTTCGGAGGTATCTAAAAGTCTTGTTTTGATTAAGTTGAAGTGCCTGGATGAAACTTTATGGAGTGTAGGAACCGGAATGACAAACCGAAACAAATACAAGTGTCTCCTAGGTTATTCTGTCTTTTAAAAAACTTGAAAAAGCCTTTGTTCCTCTCGGAGCATAAAAAGAGGGGACACCACCAGCTGCGGTCCCCAAAATACGATCATCGATTAAAAGACGTGCCGAATACTTTTAAATTCCCAAAATACCCTTTTTAGATTCCCGCGCAATATAGCTATAGATACGAAATATTAATTTACTTATCATCCGATTAAAAAAAAATCAGATATGCTCAGATGAAATGACGACGATCACCATCATGATCACTCATTGATAGTTGGGCCCTACCTCTTCCCTTTGTAGGTCCCACTTTTCTGCTTACACTTTTAAGAATCCATCTGTCCTCCATTACCACCTCCCTATAGCTAAAGCAAACTCCCTATTCAAATTTTGTACGTATTCAAAAATTTTACTCATCTTATGTGATAATTTGTGCATATAAATACCCTTTACTCCACTGTCACTCTTCTTAGTTTTCTCTCAGCTCCTCCTCTCCAAAATGCCCCATTATTACCTTCACCGCCGGCCGGTTACTCCGGTGCCGGCAATATTTTGTTTTCTCGGATTTTTTTTATTCTTTTTCTTGGGCCCTTTGCCTGTTAATGGGTGGCGTCCATGGCCCAACCAAAAGCCCAACGCCACCGAGTTAGTCTACGGCGGGTCTAAAAAATATGAGGGCTCGTCGGAGTTTGTCCATTTGAAATATCATATGGGCCCTGTTCTCACTGCAAATATCACCGTTTATCCCATTTGGTACGGACGGTGGGGAAAGTCCCAGAAGCGTATTATACGCGATTTCATCAGCTCATTCTCGGCCTACGATTCTAAACCGCCTTCAGTGGCTGGTTGGTGGAAAACGGTCCAGCTTTACACTGATCAGACCGGAGCCAATATCTCCCGTAATGTCCACCTCGGCGACGAGAAAAACGACCGGTTTTACTCACACGGTAAATCCTTAACCCGGTTAACTGTACAGTCAGTGATAAAATCCGCCGTTACAGCTCGTACCCGACCGTTACCGTTAAACCCGAAAACTGGCGTCTACTTATTGCTCACTTCTGATGACGTGTACGTTCAGGATTTTTGCCAAAACGTTTGCGGATTCCATTACTTCACTTTCCCGTCCATCGTCGGGTACACTTTGCCGTATGCTTGGGTGGGTAACTCCGCCAAGCTTTGTCCGGGTACTTGTGCGTACCCGTTTTCCGTACCGAATTACATGCCGGGTTTTAAAGCCGTGAAGTCACCCAACAACGACGTTGGAGTTGACGGAATGATAAGCGTGATAGCTCATGAGATTGCTGAGCTATCAACGAACCCGTTAGTGAACGCGTGGTATGCGGGTCAGGACCCGAGTTTCCCGGTGGAAATAGCGGATCTTTGTGAAGGGATTTACGGTACCGGCGGCGGCGGGTCGTACACCGGACAAATGATGAATGATAAAGAGGGTGCCACATATAATATGAATGGGCTAAGAAGAAGGTTTTTGGTTCAGTGGGTGTGGAACCATATTCTGAATTATTGCACTGGCCCTAATGCACTTGATCAGTAAATGTTCCATTTACCATTCAAATCACTGTATGTGCTTTTCTTAAGCATTTTGGTTTGTCGATTTTTTCTTTCTTTCAACTTTATTTTTAAATTTCAGGTTGATGATGCATGTTAATTAAGCTTTGGTTACTATTAATATAGTGTAATAAAAGTAGTTTATATGTACTGTAGTAATTTCGTATACAAAGTTACTTTCTTCACTTGTCTAAATTTTGAATGGATTTGTACTTTGTAGGGGCTCTCTTTGGACATACTTTACTGTACTATCACATTCCCCCTTACAGAATTCAAAAATAATGAGTTCTGCGAAAGTTGGCAGTGTTTGTCTTGGAGAAATATAGAAAACAGAGAGCATAATGCCAATTAAAGAAGATGTGGGGACTTATTTTTAAAAAAATGCGGTTTCTACACGTTCATCTTCCATTTGTAAATTTAAAATAAATGTTGTTTATTTTGTACGTTCTGACCACTAAAACCTATAAGTATTATTTTAAAATTTTGAGATTGCTAAATGAGGAAAATTTTGAAGGATGTAAATTTAAAATAAATGTTGTTTATTTTTGTACGTTCTGACCACTAAAACCTATAAGTATTATTTTAAAATTTTGAGATTGCTAAATGAGGAAAATTTGAAGGATATATATATATATATTGTATTAATCTTTGATGATCCGTGAGGCATAATAGCCATCCTAATATTGATGGCTTAGATTTATATTTTGAATTAGTGTTAAGGAAAATAGTACAAATAAAAGATAATACTCTAATCGATATATTTAATTACATAAAAATACTTGATTTTTTTTCAAATGCCTAATCGATAGACCTTTTAGCCATAAGTGCGTCTGAAGTGCAATTTTTCGCTTCAGACCTTTTGGTCTTAAGGGCATCTGGAGTGCAATTGTTCACTTCAGACTTATTGGCCTTCAGTGCATGAACCATTGGTTACACTTCAGACATATTTGGCCTTACGTGCATCTAAATTGTAATTTTTTATTTCAGATTTATTGACCTTAAATGTAGGAAAACGTTTGTTGCACTTAATACCTTTTGGCCTTAAGTGCATCTGAAGAGCAATTTTTCCCTTCAACCTTATTGGCGTAGTGTATGAAACCATTGGTTGCATTTCAGCCCTATTTGGCCTTAAGTGCATCTAAAGCGCAATTTTTTCATTTCAGACTAATTTTTTTTAACTTCAGACCCAATGAGTCTGAAGTTGTTAGTAAAGTGGGTAGGCTTATAAATTCACATTTGGAGTAGGTTTGGGTATTAAATCGTATTTTGGATTGTTAAAATTCGAAGAACAAATTTCTGTTTCTGGACAATTTGCACTTCTGGCCTATTTGGCTTGAAGTGCATGAAAACGTTGGTTGCACTTCAGACCTTTTAGCCTTAAGTGCATCTGAAGTGTGAGGCCTATTTTGCTTGAAGTGCATGAAAACGTTGGGTGCACTTCAGACCTTTTAGCCTTAAGTGCATCTGAAGTGCAATATTTCACTTCAGACCTTTTGGTCTTAAGTGCATCTGAAGTGACATTTTCACTTCAAACTTATTGGCCTTTAGTGCATGAAACCATTGGTTACACTTCAGACATATTTGGCCTTACGTGCATCTAAAGTACAAATTTTCACTTCAGGCTTATTGACCTTAAGTGTAGGAAAACATTTGTTGCACTTCAGACTTTTTGGCCTTAAGTGCATCTGAAGTGCAATTTTTCACTTCAAACTTATTGGCCTAGTGTATGAAACCATTGGTTGCATTTCAGCCATATTTGGCCTTAAGTGCATCTAAAGTGCAATTTTTTCATTTCAGACTAATTTTTTTTTTAACTTCAGACCCGATAAGTCTGAAGTTGTTCGTAAAGTGGGCAGGCTTATAAATTTTTTTGCAATGGGTATAAGTTCAATTGTGACCACCAAAACCAGGTATGGATGCAAAAGCCAAAAATACATAAGATCAAAAATGCGTAAGGAGTGATTAAATCGGATAGCTCTATTATCAATTAAAAAACAATCACTAAAACAATGGATTATAAAACATTTAGGCCTCTAAATATAATTCCGCTTTAGGCCCTAATTATGTCGAGCCGCCCAATTTATTTGAATACTACTTCAATCACATCCCTTTTGTTATTGTCGAATTAAACATTTTACTAAATACTATTGCTATTTAACCTTCTGTTATTCTTGAACATTGTACTAGTGCTACTTCACTTTTGTAAAAGTAGACAAACGTTAGTACCTTTTTTCAGCAAGCGTAAGAGTTTATAAAAATAATTTACAAAACTCACATACTATGTTCACTAAAATTAAACGGCGTAAAATAAACTTTAATGTTTTCCAATGGTATTGATTCAGATTAAAAGCTAGATTCTTTCTCTGTCCCAGATAATTCTTTCTTCTCGCTTTTTGACAGCAAAATAAAATAAAATAGACTCAATTTATTAGAAAAGTTCCCTATCACTTTAATATGGAAAATTAAATAATTAGTCCCTATCATTGTAATTTCTTTTACTTATGTCAGATTTAATCTCAAAAGATGGTCATGACCCCCTCCCCCCTCCCTCCAAAAAAAAAAAAAAAAAAAAATTAAAAAGGAGATATAATGAAATTGATGGATTATTATATGCGGCGGAAGCAATCCCAATATCGAAATCACATTTAATCTAGACAACTAGTATAAACAGGATTTCACGGATTACCTTTGAAGCGTGAACAAAGCTCCTCTATCACGTGAGCCTCATATTCCACAGCAACTCAACGAAATCACCACCACCTGCACGATCACGATCTCCGAACGTTCCACGGTCTTCTACTATGTTACCCCAATATATTCGCAAATAGTAATTTCGTGTGGGCGAAATTTTCTAAGAAAAAAGGGGCTGAAAATCGGCCACCATGTATTACCCCCTCTAGGTGGAAAACCTTATGTATTTATACCACAAGTTTTAAGGGTTAAAACCCTTTTCCAAGACCTGTTGACCACTAGAAAAAGGATTCATTTATTTCCTATTATGTATTTATATCACATAATTTAATTAACAAGGCTTCAATTATGGAATTAATTTCTAATTTTTAAAATTAATATCCATCATAATTAATTACGAATTATTCCACTAAAAATTCGTAATTTCACTCCTTATTCAATTTAAAAATTTATCCATTAAATCTTATTTAACTTCCCATGTTAAGATTCAGATACTAATCAACTAAATTAAATTACTGACAATTTAATTTATTGATTATTTTCTTTAGACTTTCGCTTAACTCATTTCATGTGTCGGGTACCGAATCCACCGTTCATAAAGGTGTATCATCAATATCTAAACCAGACATGGATTTCATCAACTAACTATTACTTCGCCAATGTACCTTATTAGTTTTTAATCTACCATGCATATTGACCCACGAAAGGATCTCACCTTTTTATAAATCAAAACAATAATAATATACACAGCTAATAATAATTATATCAAGATTAAGAGTAGGTTTAGGTATTAAATTGTATATTGGGTTGTTAAAATTAGAAGAACAAATTTTATGTTTCTGGACAATTTGTACTTCAAGCCTATTTGGCTTGAAGTGCATGAAAACGTTGGTTGCACTTCAGACCTTTTAGCCTTAAGTGCATCTGAAGTGCAATTTTTCACTTTAGACCTTTTGGTCTTAAGTGTATCTGAAGTGCAATTTTTCACTTCAGACTTATTGGCCTTTAGTGCATGAAACCATTGGTTACACTTCAGACATATTTGGCCTTACGTGCATCTAAAGTGCAATTTTTCACTTCAGGCTTATTGACCTTAAGTGTAGGAAAACATTTGTTGCACTTCAGACTTTTTGGCCTTAAGTGCATCTGAAGTGCAATTTTTCACTTCAAACTTATTGGCCTAGTGTATAAAACCATTGGTTGCATTTCAGCCCTATTTGGCCTTAAGTGCATCTAAAGTGCAATTTTTTCATTTCAGACTAATTTTTTTAACTTCAGACCCGATAAGTCTGAAGTTGTTCGTAAAGTGGGTAGGCTTATAAATTTTTCTGCAATGGGTATAGGTTCAATTGTGACCACCAAAACCCGGTATGGATGCAAAAGCCCCAAATAAAATACATAAGATCAATAACGCCTCCGGAGTAATTAAATCGGTTAGCTATATTATTAATTAAAAAATAATTACTAAACCAATCGATTATAAACAAATTTAGGCCTCTAATTGTAATTGCGCTTTAGGCCCCTAATTATGTCGAGCCGCCCATGTTTATTTAAATACTACTTCAATCACATAACCTTTTGTTATTATCGAATTAAACATTTTACTAAATACTATTGCTATTTAACCTTCTGTTATTCTTGAACATTTTACTAGTGCTACTTCACTTTTGTAATAGTAGACAAACGTTAGTACCTTTTTTTCAGCAAGCGTAAGAGTTTATAAAAATAGTTTACAAAACTCACATACTATGTTCACTAAAACTAAGCGGCGTAAAATAAACTTTAATGTTTTCCAATGGTATTAATTCAAATTAAAAGCTAGATTCTTTCTTTGTCCCAATTAATTCTTTCTTCTCGCATTTTGACAGCAAAATAAAATAAAATAGACTCAATTTATTAGAAAAGTTCCCTATCACTTTAATATGGAAAATTTAATAATTAGTCCCTATCATTGTAATTTCTTTTACTTATGTTAGATTTAATCTCAAAAGATGGTCATGACCCCCTCCCCACCCCAAAATAAATTAAAAAGGAAAGATATGATGAAATTGATGGATTTATATGCGGTGGAAGCAATCCCAGTATCAAAATCACATGTAATCTACACAACTAATATAAACGGGATTTCACGGATTACCTCTTGAAGCGTGAACAAAACTCCTCTATCACGTGAGCCTCCTATTCCACAGTAACTCAATAAAATCTCCACCACCTGCACGATCACGATCTCCGAACGTTCCACGGTCTTCTACTGTGTTACTCAAATATATCCGAAAACAGTAATTTCGTGTGGGCGAAATTTTCTAAGAAAAAAGGGGCTGAAAATCGGCCACCATGTATTACCCCCTCTAGGTGGAAAACCTTATGTATTTATAGCACAAGTTTTAAGGGTTAAAATCCTTTTCCAAAATCTGTTGGGTTTTTCTTTCCACCAGAAAAAGGATTCATTTATTTCCTGTTATGTATTTATACCACAGAATTTAATTAACAAGGCTTCCAATTATGGAATTAATTTTTAATTTTCAAAACTAATACCCACCATAATTAATTACGAATTATTCCACCAAAAATTCGTAATTGCACTTCTTATTCAATTTGAAAATTC